ATTGACTCCACAGCAGCCAACAACAACAACAGCAGAACCAGTTAGTGCTTCCTCATGAGCCACTCCTGAAGGCATCCCACAGATGCACCCTTGGAATGTGGTCTCTTCCAGTGATGATGTCTAACACAGAGAGGAATCACTTTTTATAAGATGCACATTCTTTGTGTTCCTTTACATAGATTTTCTCTGCCCCAGGTCTAAGTTGCCAATTTTTTAATCTTTTTTTTTTTTTTAAACATTCTGTTACATGCAGAGAAAACGAGGTGCTCAAAGTCCAGCTGAAGAAATATGTAGGAGCTGTCCAGATGCTGAAAAGAGAAGGCCAGACGGCTGAAGGTGAGTGGACACTGAATCCAGGTAGGGAGGACCTGGGCTTCTTTATCTTTATAACGCCTGTGCTGGGCACACAGTGGTCTCTCAGTGTGTGATGAGTGAATGTGTATATGAAGTAGAAAAACGGTGTGGCCAGGATTCCAGAAAATTAATTAGATGGAAAATCTCATCACATGCTCTTCCTAAATGTGTTACTAATATGGTAAGACTTGTTCATTAGATGTTGATGACTGCGTATCAGTCTGTGTTCTTAGAGGACTCTTAAGGCACTTGCAAGGAAGTGAACCATGTGGCGTGAGGGTGGTTACACACTAAGTCATATTAAGGTGCAGAGCTCCAGACTGGGGCTGAACAGGTTTCAACTCCAGCTCTGGATAAGTTTCTTCATCTTCCTGTGCCTCAGTTTTCTAATGGGGTTAGTTAACAGCACCTACTTCAAGAGACAGACTATGTAAACATATTAGCGTAGTGCTTACCAAAGAGTAAATACTTAGTAAATTTTTTGCTATTATTATTGTTGATAAGGAGCTCTGGTGGTGTAGTGCCTAAAGAATTTGACTGCTCACCAGAAGGCCGGCAGTTCAAACCCACTAGCCACTCCATGGAAGGAAGACTGGCAATCTACTTCCGTAAAGATTTACCACCTCGAAAGCCCAAAAGGGGTCACGATGAGTCGGACTCGACTCAGTGGGGGTGAGTTTGGTTTTTTTGGTAATATTAGTCACAAAGGTAAGTGTTATGAAAGATTGTTGTTGATAGTTGATGTCTCATTGACTCTGACTCATAGTGACCCTGTGTTCAAAAGAACGAAACACTGCCTAGCCCTGCACGGTCCTCACGGTTGTTGCTATGCTCGAGCCTTTGCCGTGGCCATGTCAGTCCATCCCCTTGAAGGTCTTCCTGTTTGTCACTGACCCTCTACCAACCGTGATGTCCCTCTCTAGGGACTGCTCCCTCCAGATAACATGTCCAAAGTATGTGAGACAAAGTTTCACCATTCTCTCTTCTAAGGAACCTTCTGTCTGTACTTCCAAAACAGATCTCTTTGTTCTTCTGGCAGTCCGTCGTATCTTCAGTATTCTTCACCAACACCATAATTTAAAGACATTGATTCTTCTTTGGTCTTCCTTATTCGTTGTCCAGCTTTCACATGCATATGAGGCAGTTGAAAACACCACGGCATGAGTCTGGCATACCCTTAGTCCTCAAAGTGGCATCTTTGCTCTTTACCAGTTTAAAGAGGTCTTTTGCTTCAGATTTGCCCCATGCTATACTGGCGTAGTGCCTAAGGCATTTGACTGCTAACCAGAAGGCTAGCGGTTCAAACCCACCAGCCACTCCTTGGAAGGAAGTTTGGGCAATCTACTTCCATAGTGATACTGCCTTGGAAACCCAAGGAGGGGTCGCTGTGAGTCAGATCCGACTCAACAGCGGTGAGTTTTTTTTTTTTTTTTTATATGTCATTTGATTTCTTGACTGCTGCTTCCCTGAGCACTGATTGTAGACCCAAGTAAAATGAAATAATTGACAACTTTGATCTTTTCTTTGTTGATCATGATGTGCTTATTGGTCCAGTTGTGAGGATTTTTGTTTTCTTTATGTTTAGTTGTAATCTCTAACCCCTATACTTGTGGTTAAAATCTCATTTGGGAGTGGGTTTTCTCTGTTGTGATAATGAGACTGTTAGGGTGTGTCTCAAATCAATCTCTTGAGATAGAAAAGGAATAGACCCAAGAAAGGAGAAGATGGAGGAAACATAGTTGCTATACCACATGAAGATTGCCAGGGAACTAAGGGACAAGGACCTTCCCTCAAAGCTGATACAAGGCCTTTCCCTAGAGCTGGGACCCTGAGCTTGGACTTCTAGTCCCCTCAACTTGAAGAAATAAATTTCTTCGTTAAAGCCATCTACTTGGGGTATTTCTGTTAGAGCAGCACTTGATAACTGAGACAAATGGGCATTTGACCAGGGTCTCCCTAAAATGAGGTGGTGCCATAGCTCCCTCTCGCGGGACTTGGGCTACAGTTTAGCTGTCGTGAATCTCCTAGTGTTTCTCAGGTCAGCCCAAAGAAGGGGTCTTTCACTTCACCTGAAGGGTCTTACAGCCCTCATCCAGCTGACCATAACAAGATAACCTTAAAGATGAGCCCTTAGAGTGTGGATATTAACAAGGGCTGGGTGTTCCATGCCCATGGATTCCAGGAATCAGCCAGGCCTGGATTTGAGTTCAGGCTCATTCATTATCAATTAACCTCTTACAGTCAGTTTCTCATCTGTAAGCAAAAACATCAAACCCATGTTTTAGTGTCCTCATGGGGATTTAACAATATGGTACCAAAACAAAAGCCAAGGCCATTGCTGTTGAGGTAATTGCAATTCATGGTGACCCTATAAGATAGAGAAGAATTGCCCCAGATGGTTTCCAAGGCTGTACATCTTTATGGAAGCAGATTGCCTCATTTTTCTTCCATAGAGTGGCTGGGGAGTTCGAACTGCTGACCTTTCACTTTGCAGCTGAGCACTTAACCACTGTGCCACCAGGGCTTCTCTGCAGTATAGTACCTGGTATATGATAGGTGTTTAATAAATGGTAGCTGTTTTTCTATGTGGTGGAGGGAGGGAGACAGGATTGGAATCTGGAAATATGAAGACTTGACTTCTCCTCAAAGCTTTTGTGTTTCTAATGAGTCCCTGATTGTTTGGGTCATCATGTTGGTGACTCTGTTCTGATAATGTGCCTAGCCTTATTCATGCCTGGTCTGAGGGTCATTGCTGCACAGTTAATCAGGTCTTGCTCCATGGGCACATGGCTCTTCTCATACAGGTATTGCTGTTATGGCCTGTACTCCTTTCATTATGCTGGGTGATGTATGTGGTCCTTTCACTTGCTCATATAATTTCTTCTTTGTTTCCCCAGCACTTGGCTTTTGTAGTCATTCATTACATTCCTGTTTTGAATGAATATTGTTTGTCTGCCCTTTAGCCTTTCCAAGTAAGTTCAAATGTAGTCTTATTTGAGTCAGTAACCAGGTGATGAGTAGATGTTTTCCTTCTATTTTTAACAATGAGCATGTTGGAGGCTCCAGAGAGCTTCAGGGACGTGCATGTGTATCAGGATGGAAGTCGAGCTGTGGTCATTCCTCTTCAAGTCCCTAGTGCTTTGCAGTATCAAGTCATTAAACTTCAGTGTGCAGACAATTCCCTGTGGTCTGTTGAATATGCCTCTTCTCAGGACTCTGTTCTAGAAGTAGTTTCTGTCGATTTGGGGTGGGCTGTAGATTCGCACACCTGGGTGTGTGAGTCTGGTGCAGGTGGCCTAAGTCTACTGAGAAATCTGTACACATCCAGAACCTTGCTTTGACCTGGTGCAAGAAGAAAATTAAACCAAGAAGAGAAGCACCATTGCTTTTGCTTTTGATTGAAAAGCCTACACACTACAAAATACTTTTCTGAGTATTTTCTACATTTGGAGAAGTTCCCCAGGATGGGTACACAGAGCATACAGTGTACAGAATGGTTTCTCCCTGCAGCCAGAGTTCCCTGTCCTGAGACTCAGAGTGCATGCTCAAAGCCAAGGCCTGGGTCATGAGCCTTTTCAGGAAACAGTTGAGCTCATCTCAGTTAACCCCTTGAAGGTCTGACACAGAGGTAATTAAACATCTTCCACTCCATACGGCAGTAGTCCCAGACCCCGCCACCTTGTCTATGAGTCATCCTTCAGTGGGAAGGTTTTGATGAAAGGTCTTAAGTGTGGGCCATGTCCTGGATGCCTTGTTGCTCACTGAAGTCCTTCAACCCACTCTTTCTTGTACTTGGTGAACATGAATGAGCACTGCCTGTGTTTGTGCCCGGCACCGTGAAGCATCTCATTAGAAGGAAGCTCTTTCAAAAACTGTACTTGGACCTCCCTCAAGAAAGTTTACCTGATTTTCAAGGATGTCATCTATTATTCCTCAAGGAAACTAGGACTCATTCCCAAGTACAGCCCTTGCTCAGTGCTGCCCTCTTCCTGGAATGTTCTGTGTACATTTGAGAATCAGAGATTGATCTCTGAACTGAAGGGGAGATGCTCCAGCTAGGGGCAGCTGAACCTGGCCTTCCAGAGGGACTTGGGTCTGCCTTCATCACATGGTGGGGACAGCTGCCCCATCCACCTGTGGGTACTGGCGTCCAAGGCCTCCATGGTGTCTGGCCCACCAGCTCCAGTTTTCATTTGTCCTCCGTCACGGTCACTGCTGAGATGGGGACAGGGGACCTCCTTCTTTGGCCCTGCACTTGACTTTAGCAGCTAACCCCAGCTAGCTCTCAGGGCTTTTGTAGGCTTTCAGGAAAGGAGTTCTGTCTTTCTTTTTGGGCTCGGGAAGTCTGGGGCTGCTGCAGCTTTCTTGTCTGCCTGTGTCATGTGGAACGAGCCATCAACAGAGGACTGAGCTGAGCCGCAAGGCAGAGGCAGTGCTTCTGTTCATGTCTGTTGAGCCCCTGAATCCAGGAGCCATGAGCAGTGCTTCTACAGCCTCCCCTATCCCCATGGTCAAGGCTGAGTTGGCTTTCCACAGCGGCTATGCTCTGTGGCTGCCGGTTAGCTTTTCCTGGACATTGAGGCCGTCTTAGCCTTGGCCCTGGCAGTTGAGTCTTTGCAGTCTGTGCCTTTCCAAATCCACACATCTCTCCTGTGCTGCAAGGCCCCTCTTCCCCCGCTGCCCTATCATTAGGCACACGCCACTGCCGTGATCTGTCCTGGCCACCCTCGGTCACCTTCTGCAGTGATGGATGTTAAAGCCACAAGTTCTCATTGGCATCTCCGTTTAATTAATCTGTCAGGGGCTCAGGGAGGGAGGGGAGAGAAATGGCCTGTTGCTGGTGGCAGTTGGCGTAATCAGTGTGAGGGCAGGAGGCATAGTGGGAGGAATTTGACAGATGAAGGCGGCTTGGAGCAGTTTTAAAAGTTGCCTCTGAGAAACAAAAGAAGTCATCTAGCTCTCTTGCATGGCGTGTCTGCTGG